CACACACACACACACACACACACACACACACACACACACACACACACACACACACACACACACACACACACACACACACACACACACACACACACACGCGCGCGCGCGCGCGCTTCACATCTTCCATCAGCACATTCACCAGTGCTCTGCTGTTATCTGGGGGATGTGATGTGCAATTTCTCTTTGAAGGCACTGTCACAGAACGGCTTATTTCACCAGTCCTCCAGACGCGGGGCTCTCTGTCTCTGGCAGGGTTTTTCCATCCAAGACAAAGAACAGAGCTGCCCAAGCTTTGCTGCCTGGCCGACTGGCTGTCTCATTAGAAACAAGACAACAGAGGCGAGACAAAAGGGGGATGTTTGCAGCCCAGTGAAAAGTGGAAGGATGGTAGAAATTGAGCTGAAGTCATCATTACTTTTTCTATATCACAACGAAAGCTTCAGCTACAGCCCTAAAAGCTTTCATTTCAAAAAGATATAGCAACAAGTAAATGAACTCTTCCTGCCACTTGTGGTTGCGTTGTGAGAATGAAATACACAGCGAGGAGCAGAGACAGAATGTACTGACGGTGGGGAAATTTGATCAACAGCAGCGGCTTGTTTGTGACAAAATGTTGTGTTTCGGTGATACCGATACCTTCTCAGCTGTCTCCACTTGTCAGCATGTTGGACTGTCAGAAGCTTTGACAGGAGCAGCTCTCCTTAGGTTTTTTCTGACAGAAACACCATGGATCCTTACACAATCATCAGGAAGTGTAAACACAGAGTACATCTTGCAGTTAAGGCAGTTTATTTTTGGATGGTATAACCCCATACTGTGGTGCTTCTTCAGTTCAGCGTGAACATTTCTTATGTAATGTTATATTTACTTTTCTGAGGAGATTTATATGGAGAAGCCACTGCTGTGGGCAAAATGCACAGATATCCTTAGCACCCCTGCTTTAATTCATAAACTGCAAAACATCTGAATTTTAACTGCGAACCACACCAGTTCCTTAAGTAACATGTACAAAGTCTGTGCCTAAAAAATCTGATTAAAAAGGGTATTTTCATCATTTTCTTTCTTTCTTTTTTTTAATTTTATTGAGTTTAGTTTTAGTTTTTTTAGGATTCTGAAAGGGACATACTTCTATATAAGCCCTCTGGGGTCTTTTTTATCTCACAGCAAATCTTTCTTCCTTATTTCCTGCATAAGAAAATCCTTCTATGTGTAGTTTAAGCAGCTAAACTAACTACACGATAACTCAACACAGCGCTTCAAACCAGATGTCCAATTACGAGCGTGTGCGTGCACATGTGCACGCCCGCCGTGCGCGCATACACCCAGCAGCTTCCTTGTGCTGGAAATGTTTGCCACTGAATTCCTTTTAATACTGTGTGTGCTTATGTTATGTAAACCTCATTATCTCTATCACTACATCGAATTCTTATCATTAAGCCTCTCTGAGATCATAGAGCACTTGGAGGAACATCAAAGTGCTACACTAACATGCTGACAAATATTCAGCGCACACACCAGACATGCTACACTTAAACACACACCCACATACACCCAGATAAGTAAAAACAATCAGGGGGGAAAAAGCCCCTAAACACCACACTGAATCTGGGGTTGATTCACGACGCCTGTCATAATCAGTATAAGTCGGGGGACCTTGAGTCAAAAGATGTTTGATTGTATCCTTGAGCTTTACCCGTCACAGCAGCTGCCTCATGAAAAATAAATTCTGTTCTGGCCACCAAGTTCACCAGTCCACCCCCTCTTCACTCACTCTCCTCGCTCCTCTCCCTCTGCTCTCACCCTCGACATCTTTTGCTTAGAAGAGAGACTGGTTGCCATGGCTACAATCATTAACACATCTGGCATATTTATCTGGCGTTCGCATGCTCACGCAGAGAAACGCACAGCCAACGAACACACACTTGCACACGTGCTCGCAGAACGACTAAACAGCATACATATGTAAAAAGCATTAATATGCATTCTTCTTTTGGTGTGCAGTTTTCAGCTGCATGGCTGCAGTCTGGAGCTTGTGTGAGAGAGATAATGGACTGAGTCTTGTTGGGGAAAATATGTCAACAGAGAACTTAAGGCCTCGCTCATAATCCTATTGGTGAATTTAACCAAACGCGCTTTATCTTAATCCGTTGTGAAATGGAGTTGGAGATGGAGACTCTTCCTTATATTTGCATATTCCAAACTGATATTTACGATTTTTCTTAAAATCACAATTTCTCCGTGTGAAGAAGAAGAGTGTAGCCCATCATGTATTTGTGAGGCTCATTTGAATAACTGATATTCTTGAACTTATTCAGCTGAGACACAGTTTCTATGTAATATAAATGATGTATCTGGTGATATTAAAAGCAAAACCCTCATTTGCAACATTACTGATGATAGTGATCCTCTTGCCCTCCAGAAAATGTCATGGGAGGGTGTTTGACAATATAATCACTAATGTTTCCTTAGGCCTTGTGGCACACTACTGAGCCACAACATTTAACTATTTGCCTAATATTTTGTATCTTCTCTTTTTGCCACCAAAGCAGCTTTGATGTGCTAGGACATCAACATGTTCGAACATGTAGTGTCTGACCCCCAGACACAGGAAGCAGGTACTTTGGGTCCTGGTGGGGCCTCCATAGACATGGCCTGTTCCAGCACATCCTGTTGATGTTTAATTGGATTGAAATCTGAAGTTTGAAGGCCAGGTCAAAGCCTTGGGCTCCTGTTGTGTTTCTCCAGCCGATCCTCAACAGTTTTTGCAGTGTGGTGGGGCAGAGTCTCCTGTTGAGGCAGGCCACTGCCGTCAGGGAATGCCATTGCCATTGGCAGGGGGATGGGGAGTCGGGTGGTCTTGTGATACTGTCAAATTAACATCTGCATGAATGCTAGGCCTCATCTTTCCCAGCAGAACGTAACGTTTTGCTTCCATAAGAACGAATAGAATTATCATTTTAGCCCTCGTGAAGATGTATTACCATATGTAATTCAAATTTGTAACCATTAAACCATACACGATTTTATAGATAAATGCCATTTCTCTACATTCAACACTACTGTATTTACTGAAGTCTGCAAGTTGAAAATTGTGTCTCTCGCTATTCATGAGTAGCCAGACTGACAGCTTTACCACTGAGGGTGGTACATATTACAGCAGCTATAAATTATTTAATGAGAAGCACAGAATACATTTCTTCTCAACAACAGGCACGCTCACTGTGTAAAACGTATAGCTAAAATCTGCTGTAGCTCTTCTCTGTTACATCCCTGATCTTGGGGGCTACCTCAGATCTTGTATTAGCTCTGAAGCAGCTCAAACAATCTGGAAAACAATTTGTGTGTTTGGTGCCCCGAAGTGTGTATTCTGCACTGATCACTTGCTTTCAGTGCCAGAACATATTCATCATAGGCTACTAACATTAACACACCAGCATGGGAAGCAAAGAAGAGAGAAGTGTTTTAATAATGGTTCCACCACCAACAGACACACTGAAGATATTTAACTGCCAACCACAAGCGGAAAATCAAAGATAAGTATACACATGTGCGCAAACAAACTTACCGACATTTCATAAGTCACGACCTGTTTCTGTGGTGAACACCTTCAATCAAAAACCATAATAGCTACTTCAGCGGATCATAACAGGATGACTACGTAGATGTCTCTCAGATAAACACACATTCACACGGTAACACAAAGACATGCACATACACAGCTGTGAAGGAGTTTGGCTTTACGACAGATGCCTGTGCAATCCGTGCATTATACTGCCCCCACCCTAACCCCTGAGGACATCCCCTTTCTTCCATAACACACATTCTCTCTGCACTTTACATACAACTGTTCCCTCAGCCACAGCAAAACAACCAGGCAGACCAGTTGCAACGTCAGGGTTATAACCAATGACTGACAGGCGCATTTCAGTTGGCTTTGGAAGCATTCCAGGTAAGGCTAAACAAACATTTCTCTCTCGTGACAGAGTCGTAGACAGTAGAAAAATAAATAAATCTGTGAGCACTTCATGGGAGAATTAACATAATATTCAGTCTTAAACATCTGAAAAAATCTGCTCTAGAAAAAAGATCGTTTTCAACAACGTGGTTAGACACACCTTTACTTTCCTTTTGCAATTGGTTCATGAACCTCACCCATAATCTCACCTCATCCAACCACCTTTTACTTCCACATGAAAAATCACTAGCTAAGCCTAAAGCAAATGATCCAGTGACAAGCCAGGCACACCAAGACAAAGAAACCGCTTCCTCTCTCATACCTTTTTGCCTTTCTTCTTGCGATGGGCTCCTTTCCCGCCGCCTGCTTTCTCCTTAGCTTCCTCACTCATATTCAGAGATCTCCCACTGTTCTTCCCCTCTCTTCACTTTTTTTAATCCAGCATGTAGGAGCTCATGGAGTAGAGTGGCAGCAGCTGCTGTCTTCACTGCTTAAACGCTGCCACAGAAATGTCCATTTAGAAGCAGTGAAAGAAGGACTGTTCCATGCAAAGTGGGAGTGTGCGTGAAGCGAGGAGAGACTGGGAGGACTGTGCTGATGCTCACTCCCTCCTCCTCCTCCTCCTCCTCCTCCTTCTTCTTCTCTCCTCTTCCTCTCCACGTTCACAAACACTCGCACACACTTGCAAGCACGTTCACTGAGGTCCACTCCCACTTGCTGCCTTCTCTGTGCGCAATTGGCGACTCTCTCCAACGCGCTCTGAGGCAGGGTGTGGAGGCAGGAGGAAAGTGGAGAAATAGAGATGGAGAAGGAAGATGAAGAGGTGGAGGATGTTGATATATGTGATGCAAGAAGAAAGAAAAGATAGATAGAGAAGTAGACTGAAGGAGTGTATTCCTGACTTGGTGTCGTGCTGCCTACCTGAGCGTGGAGTCTAGAGGCACACTTTCAGAAAGAGGCAAAGACACACAAAAATGCTACATGGGAAGAGAGACAGAAAAAGAAAAGACAAAAAAAACAGTGATTAAGGCGTAAAGTAGGAGAAAGACGAGAGTAAAAAAAGTGTGAGAAAGAGAGAGAGAGCAATAGGTTGAAAAGGGGGTGTGATCCACTTCACTCTGCCGGCTGGATGATCTCTGCTGTCGCTCCCTGCCCAGACGTTGTAATATGAAATGAGACTCTCCTCGAACAGGCCAGCAGAGAGACGGGGAGAGAGAGAGAGAGAGGGAGAAAGAAATAGGGTGGAAGAGAGAGAGGATCATTAACACGATGCATCAGGTCCTTCCAGAAAAGGAAGTCTCCCCACTAGCCTTTGCCAACAGGATCAGCTTACTGGAAACTGGAACAGAACAGAACTGTACCAAGCCCTGACTGTCTGACAGACTGACTGGTTGAGTTAAGGTGTGCGCATAAAAATGTGTGCACGAGACAGGAAAAACAAGTATACAGATATGCACGCAAGCTTGACATAATCCAAAAAATATTCAACCAGTAACCACTGAAATATCCGTGTAACGATTCGGCATAGACAGACTTCAAAAAGACATGAAGACCACGCCTTTTTCGGCTTCAACAAGCTACAGCGCTCCACCAATGAAGCATCCAGCTAATGAGGCAGGGGGAGAGAAAGTGAATCACGGAAAAGGGGAGAAAATGGGAACAAAAAGCCCTGGGTGTCACAGAATGAGAGGTCAGAAGGAGGGGTGGGGTGAGTGGAGGGTGAGACGCAGAGAGGAGAGAGAAACTGACAGTGGGAAATGAGGAAGGTAGGGAGGGTGAAAAAACAATGTGATATCAGAGGAACAGTGAAACCAGGGAGGCATAGAAAGAATGAAAGAACAAATGAAAAAGCAAATGAGCAGCCGACAGAGGCACAGAGAGGCAGGGATTGCTACGATTGCCCCCTAAACAACAGGTTCTTTATTCTGGGGTGTATATTGCTGTTAACCAGCTCTTTCTCTCTCCTGTTCCTGACGAGCACAATCATGCTGTTCACCAACAGTGAAACCATGTAAAAACATGACTCAGTTGAAAACAAACACACACACATTATATTTTTATATTTATATATACAGTCAAATATCTTGAATTTTAAATATACAAACACAACATAGAAAAAGATCAGCTGTTCCTAAGTGCTATTCTTTTCAATACAGGTCAGGCTATAATAACATCACAGAGTTAGAGGGCAATCTCTGAGTTGCTGATTATTAAGCCATTAATATCATTAAGTCTAATTTAAGTTTATTTAAATTTCAGTCTAATTGAAAGAAAATGAATGTGCTATTCATCAATTATCTTACTTAGTACTGTGGAAATCTCTTGATATATTGATCGTGAATTTCTCAAACATGTACAAACATACATGTTCAGTAAAAAGCTACAAACTGTTCAGTTCGCTTATTTGCCAGATGTGTCTGGGGTGGAAGCATCAAAAGTAAATACAGGAAGAAGGTACTGTGTTCTAGACAATAGGAAAACACTGAGAATTGACTCTTATTTCACATCTAGTTGCTAGCTTGTAGTGACCTTTGCCCACCTGCTGCATCCCAGAATGGAGAGCACACATGGCTAAGGGAAGGTGTTTAGCTCAGTAATGTCACAAACCACTCCGGAGTTTGTTTGGAACTGGACTGAGATCATCATCCAAAGGTTGTGTTGGTTTGCATCCCAAGTGAGTCTCACCAAGTGGGAAAATGACCCACAGTTTAAGTTAAATGGACTAAACGTTGCAGGTGTGAAAACCTTAGGACCTGTAAGCGTTCTTGTAGTTTCTTTAAATAGTCTTCAGGAATAGTTCTCCAAGCTTCTTGAAGGACATTCAAAGCTTTTCTTTCTAGCTATCTTTTCTATCCATCGTGGATCAAAATCTTATGATACTTTTCTCCATTTGTAATTTCATCAATTTTGAAAAGATCCACAACACCACTGGGTGAAATTCAGCTCCAAACTGTAAGGACTTACTGTTGTACTGCTCTCATGACCTCCTTCATACATACTGATGATGGTTTTAGCCAAAAATTTCAAATTTGGACTCCATAAGATATGGTGCCACTGATTTTCAGTCCAGTTCTTGTGTACTTTGGCATACAGACAGTACACCACGCTGATATAAGCTCTCTGAGAATCACCTTTTTGCTGCCAAAATTCTATTTTATACCTATCGAAATAAAATGTCTTATCCTTGGCAATTTTCATAAATTCAACTAAAGAAATGGGACCAAATAAGATGTTTTTACGACAGGCTGCTAGTAGCAAAAAGCCTCAAAATAGGTTATTTGCTAAGCTGTCTGTCTTCTGTAGACATAACACTGACTCATCCTTTAAGTTAGGGGCCTTTATTATGCTTGAATGATTCATAGTTGTCAAGTGTCTTAAAAAAATCCTCTGAAGGTGGCCAGATACAAGTGAAAAAAATAGTGGAAAAAGCAGCCAATGTCAGATGAAATTTTATCAAAAAGAGCTGTGAATTTTTTTTCCTGGAGTCTTTGCAATATTTGGACTGAATCTTGAATAAGGAGTCACTTTCAATAAAGATATCCTAAATGCCACAGAGAGAGCTCACACTGGATTATTTGCTTTCTCACCAGTGACATATGATGTCCTCAAGTCAAGACCATCCTCCTCCTCTCTGTCATCCTTTTATCACTCTAGCATCCCCCATGTACAACTTCCAGTCCTCGGAGTGAGAGGAGAGAAGGATTACACAGCGCTTCACACTTTAATCTGTAGCCGGGTATGTTCTCTTCACTCTAACCTCACTTTAATGTGTATATGTAATAAAGCTGATGGGAATGTGAGCACATGTGGATGCTTACAGCAGAAGCATTTGTCTGCTGCTCTGTGTGCATGCGTGTGTGTTGCAGGGCGTGGTTCCACTGACTGTCTGCCAGCAGAGGTTATTATTGATTGCCAGGAGGCAGCCCCATCAGCAAGGGATTTATTACGATTTATAAGCTCCACAGATTGCACTGGGAAACACTACAAATTCATACAGAAATGGTAAATTATTTACATCTTTTTCTCTGTCTTAAAAGCAGGATATAGACACCACACTGGAAAAATACTCAGTTTCACAATAAAATAAAACAATAAAATTCATATAAGAACATCACAGTAAGATGACAAGCCTAGATCTTATATATATAATGTTTTTAATTTTTGTTTTTTAAGCTTTTTGCTTATATATTGCCATATGTCAGCCTGACAAATCTTGGAAATTGATTTAAGGACACACTTAGCTCAGCTTCTTTAGTGCCTGTAACTGCTGATGTAACTTCTAAACATATGCACAATTCCTGCTGTGCTTTTTAGGCATGGAGTAATACGAGTTTGGAGGGGATGTGTGATTTCCATATCAAAAGACATATTCCTCTCCTTGCAGTAATCAACTAAATAAGTCACATCCTCCCCAAATGTCTCAAAACATCCCCAGTACACTGTCTGGAAAGAGAGGCAGGAGAAGTAAAGAGAGGAAGAGATACAGCTTGTAATATAACCAGCTGATGACAGAAGGTGGTCCTTTTCTCCCCATGTTCACTAATCAACACCATTTGTTTTAGCATGCACTTATTGCATTTATCCACCTCTGTTACCTTGTGGAGCAATTATTCTTTATATACTCCTAGTCAGATGTGTGTATCTGAATACGTGCATGGTCCAAGCGCACGCAGGTTATCACTGTAAGGACACTCACTAGGTTATCTCTACTATAGTAAGTAGGTTATCTCTAGGGCTATCAATCACAGTCATCTTGATTACCAATCCATATTAAACTGTTTATAGTCACCATGTTGTTGTAAAACCCTAATGAGCTGCTAGCAACTAGAAAGTGAAGAAAACAGTGAGTATATAGAAAATAATACTAGTAATATTTAGGGAATGGAGGACTGTGCAGTATAATATTCAGCAACTTTTTTTTTTTATTTAGTTTTTGCATTTTTGGGGTATGGATCTTCACCCTTGCAATGCAGACAAATGGAAATTTGTTGGAGTTTTGCAATATATAATTAATCCTGTCAAAGAGTTTATTTCAAACTAAGCCAGATATATGTCTTGCATTAATATATGCATAAATATGTCATGCATAAACCAGAACAAGATGTTTTGATGCCTAAATCTACTAAACAGAAAACAGTGTAAAAATGGTACAAAGAGGCAACGATTACCACACAGCAACTGCAAAAACCTAAACAGTAAATGCAACACTGAATACAAAACTAACTAAAAAATGTTAATAACACTGGTACGACTATATCTTCCCTGTGGAGCAATAATACATATTTTGCTGTGAGACTGGTGTAGCAGATTTCACTATTCCATACTAATCTCATAATCTGCACTAATAAAAAAGGATTATGTGACAGTTATTTGGAGAAAAAAAGTGTTTGTTTATGCATTATAAGACAATATGCTTCAGCCTTTTTAAAAAAAAAATATAGCTCTAACAATATTTACTGGGCAATTAACAATCTACCGATCACATCTGTGTCCTGTCCTTGAGGCAAAGTGCAGACAATGTCACAGACTGTGATCTTTTGGCTGCAGTTAGATTTGTCATTACTGTGACTTTGATCTTACACATACAGTGAACACATGAAGTGATGCCAGGAAATCTAATTTTGCTCTTATTGCTTTGAGACATCCGAAGTGAGAGATGCAGAAATACTAGGATATTTCAACATCATGGCAATGCGGAGAAACTGAAACAAAAGCTACAAAACAGTTATGAAAATATAAACACATATAGCTTTGGGAACTGTATCTTGGTGTAAAGGGAGTGATTCCCAGCAACGTGGCACCCAGAGACCGGGCAGTTATTAAACTGTTCCTGGAAAGAGCAGATGTTACAGTTATACCCTAATTTTGGCCCCTTGGGTAGATGAAGTGCCCAAATGTTGCTGACATTTTTTTTCATTAGGGTAAAAAGACAAACAAACAAACAAACAAACCTGCATGGGTCTTGAATTAAATTTTTCTCAACTTTGCATTGAGCAACTGAAGCAGCTACCAGTGACAGCAAAGAATATAAATATATTAAATGGTTACCTAAGCAACTGGTGTCAGTAGGCAGCAGCAAAGCAATGCGTAGAGAGGAAAATGCTTCCTGTTTGAATGTCCCTTTAGTATGTCTGTGAAGGTTCTGAGTCACCACAGTCTAAGGAGCTTGGAAACAAAAGTGTCTGGACTTCTTTAGGTTTCTTGAAGACGTTTCACTTCTCATCCAAGAAGCTTCTTCAGTTCTAAGAGCAATTGAGAGTCTCAGATTTTAAGCCCTGTGGGAGTGTCCCCAAGAGGGTCATGGACCCCCTATTGATCCTCTACCTGATCACACTAGCCAAGGTGTGAAAACGGGTATGGGTCGCAATCAGCCAAGATTTTAGGTGAACCCACTGAGAAACCTGCAGACCCTATCATGTGATTTACTGAGGTCAAATGGCCCAGAATGTGAGTGGGCATTAAAGCGTCTGGGAAGGGATCTCAAAACTGGTTTATGGATGGCAGACAGTTGGTGTCGTAAGCAGTGTTGGTCAAGTTACTTGAAAAAAGTAATCAGTAACTAATTACTGAT